GAGGTCCCATTTGTTAATTCTTGCCCTTGTTTCCTGGGCTATTGGTGTCCGGTTTAGAAAGTCCTTTCCTACACCTATATCTTGTAGGTTTTTCCCAATGTTTTCTTCTAAGAGTTTCAGCATTTCAGGATTTACATTGAAGTCTTTGAGCCATTTGAAACTGACTTTTGTGCAGGGTGAAAGATAGGGGTTTAGTTTCATTCTTCTACAAGGGGAGATCCAATTTTGCCAGCACCATTTGCTGAACATGCTGTCTTTCCTCCAGTTAATGTTCCTGGCCCCTTTGTCAAATATCAGGTGGCTGAAATTGCATTTACTCATATTTGGGTCTTCAATTTTGTTCCATTGGTCTATGGGTAACCAAAAGCCATGACAATAACCAGTAATGTTTGTGGGGTGTCCGTGCGACTTCACTGGCCAACAATTCCAAAAGAGATAACCCATTCCTGGTACTGAGCTTTTATTTGTTAGCTTGTGGTGTATAGTGGGTATTGTTCCTACCTTATAGGATAGCTCCATTTAAACTCCTCTTTTGTATATATATATATTTTAGGGAGCTTCTATAGTAGTAGGTTTCCTCAAAGCCTTCTTATACTATTATTCTCTTTTTCCCCTTCATATCACTACATTCTGTCTCTTTCCCTAAAGCCCCCGCCCCATGGCCCCTTACTGATTTCATGACCTCTGTGGGTTTAAAAAAAAAACTATTTTAAAATTATTTTTATTTTATGTGTTTGAGTTATTATCTGTGTGTATGTAAGTGCACCTCTGTCATGCAGTGCCTTCAGGGGTGAGAAGAGGGCATCAGATCCCATGGAACTGGAGTTATGAATAGTTGTTACCCACCATGTTGGTGGTAGGAATCAAGCCCATCTCTGCAAGAGGAACCAGTGTTCTTAACTGCTGATCCATCTCTCCAGTCCCCTCTTTGGTTGTTTTTTTTTTCTCCATTTATTTATTTATTTATTTATTTATTTATTTATTTATTTATTTATTTATTTATTATTTATTTATTTATTTTTATGGGGTTTTTGGCTACTATAACATTCCCCTCTCTGAAGAGGTAACCCTAAAATCTTTTAAGGATTAGATATTTTAGCCAAGAAACTGGTTACTTTTCTTTGATGTCTTTTTACCCTAACTGCCTGGCCAATTCCTACCTCCTATTCTTATCACACCATCCTCTGAAGAGGTTACCCAAATTGCTGATAGGGAATTGGGACGTAGACCGCTCTGGCTTCTTCTGTGCTGAACAGGGACGCAGGGTGAGGCAATTGAAGTACCCCTTCAATGGGTCTACCTAAAAGACTGGCAAATTGCAACTCTTATCTCTAGGGGAAAAAGAAAGTCCTTGAATCGTGACTAGGAGATGTGAAGGAGAAGTAAAGGCAAGAGTAATTAGCATTACAAGTTCTAGACAGGGAACTAGAAAAAAGTCAGAACATGGCAATTTTGAAATGTTCATATGAGAGTCCATTGGAATTTCTTGACAAGGG